TCTCTGTGTCTGAAAATTGGTATGTTTCAGCTTTGCACAGTGGCAGTATTATAGCCAATGAGGTTTATCCGAGGCATGATTATTGTTAATTGAAAACTCTTCCGAATACCCTGCCATGATGACTTGAAATACAGTCAGCATTGGCAATTTTTGACAGTCTCTACAGAGACTGAATTTTTTTTTAAATGGTATGTTTATACTACTTCCTTTTAATATGATTATTGATATGATTGTGTCTGTCATCCTGCTGTTTGTTTCCTATTTGTCCCATATGTTTCTTGTTCCCATCTTCCTCTCTTTCTTTTTTTCATTAATCAGGTGTTTTTTTTAAAATTCCATTTATATCCTCTTCTTACTCCTTAGCTATAACTCTTTGGATTTTTTTTTTCACTTTAATTGTTACTTTAGCCTGTACAACTTTCGCTTATCACAGTCTGCTTTCACGGGATATTATACCATTTCATGTGTCGTATAAGAACTTTACAGTAGTGTACTTCCATTTCTCCCCTCCCAGGCTTTGTACTGTCATTTGTCAAGCATTTTATTTCCATCTGTGTTTTATACCCCACAATACATTGTTTGTTTTACTTCTGCCTGTAGGTCTTCCTTTAGCAGTTTTTAGTGCTGGTCTTTTTGTCATGAATTCCTTTTATTTGTCTTTCTTTTTTTCTTTATTAAGATATAATTCACATACCATACCATTTACGTATTCAAAGTGGACAATTCAGTGTTTTTAGCACACTGATAGAATTGTGCCACCTTTATTACAGTTTTACTTTAGAATAGTTTTACCCCTCCCCCAAAGAAACCCCATCCCCATTATTAGTTGTTCTGCTCCTCCCCTGTTCACACTTTTGGTGAGGGAGGGATCCCCCACCCTAAATACTACAAGATGGCCAACACACAACGCCCAGCCCTGGACAGGTGAGACAAACAGCAGTTTATTAGACACATACTCATGGCTCAGGGGAGGAGGAAACCCCACAAGAACGGGGCCTCGGACGTGTTGCGCTTGGGAGCAGAGTGGACAAACATGGACTTTGGGAGGCGGGCTTTATAGGGACATTGAGAATGAGCCACCCTGGTTCCCATGAGGGGACGTGATTGGCTCGTCTGAACAGTTTCACGGGCTGGCAGAGAAGTGAAGCTTGTGGGATTAGGAACTTGGTAGGATGGGGCTGGTACAGTTGAGGGGAACCTTTTTCACTGGGAGGGCATATCTGGTGAGAGCCGGGAAACTCATGGTGGTTGGGCCTTTGGGGCCCCATGAGGCTCAGGGATGTGCAGGCAGCCCGTACTGTTGAATCTTAACTTCAGACCTTACACCACAGCAGTCAGTCCCCTTTCTTCTCCAGCCCCTGGCAACCACAGATCTACTTTCTGCGTCTGTGGATTTGTCTCTTCTGGACATTTCATACAGATGGACTCATACGATATGTGGTATTTTGTGTCTGGCTTTTTCCCCTTAGCATTATGTTTTCAAGGGTCCTAGCATGTATCAGTACTTCACTCCTTTTATTGCTGGTTATTATGCCACTCTGTGGATTTACCACATTTTATTCATCTATTCCTCAGTTGATGGGCATTTGGGTTGTTTCCATGTTTTTGGCTGTTATGAATAATGGTGCCATGAACATTTGTGTATACATTTTTGTGTGGATGTTTGTTTTCACTTTTATTTGGTATATACATAGATTTTCCTTTATTTTTGAAAGCTTTTTGGCTGGATATAAAATTTGGGTTGATACGCTTTTTTCTTTCAGCGCTTTTAAGATACTCCTCCACTGTCCTCTAGTTTGCATTATTTCTGATAAGAAATCTGCTGTCATCCTTTTTTCTTTTTTAAACTTTTTATTTTATATTGGAATATAGCTGATTAACAATGTTGTGATAGTTTCAGGTGCACAGCAAGCAACTCAGCCATACATATACATGTATCCATTCTCCCCCCAAAGTCCCCTTCCATCCAGGCTACCACATAACATTGATCAGAGTTCCCTGTGCTATACAGTGGGTCCTTGTTGGTTATCCATTTTAAATATAGCAGTGTGTACACGTCAGTCCCATACTCCCTAACTGTCTCTTCCCCCTGTCCTTCCGCCCTGGTAACCTCCCTTTATTCTCCAAATCTGTGAGTCTCTTTCTGTTTTTGTAAATAAGTTCATTTGTATCATTTCTTTTTAGATTCTAAATATAAGGGGTATCATACGATATTTCTCTTTCTCTGTCTGACTTACTTCACTCAGTATGACAATCTCTAGGTCCATCCATGTTGCTGCAAATGGCATTATTTCATTCTTTTTAATGGCTGAGTAATACTCCATTGTATATATGTACATCTTCTTTATCCACTCCTCTGCTGATGGATATTTAAGTTTCTTCCATGTATTAGCTGTTGTAAACAGTGCTGCAGTGAACATTGGGGTGCATGTATCCTTTCAGACCACATTTTTTTCTGGATATATTCCCAGGAGTGGAATTGCTGGGTCGTATGGTAGTTCTCCATAGTGGCTGTATCAATTTGCATTCCCACCAGCAGCGCAAGAGGGTTCCCTTTTCTCCACACCCTCTCCAGCATTTATATTGTTTGTGGATTTTTTGATGACAGCCATTTTGACTGGTGTGAGGTGATACCTCATTGTAGTTTTGATTTGCATTTCTCTAATAATTAGCGATGTTGAACATCTTTTCATGTGCCTCTTGGCCATCTGTGTGTCTTCTTTGGAGAAGTGTCTATTTAGGTCTTCTGCCCATTTTTTGATTGGGTTGTTTTTTTTTTGATGATATTAAGCCTCTTGAGATGTTTGTAAATTTTGGAGACTAATCCCTTTTTGGTCACATCATTTGCAAATATTTTCTCCCAACCTGTGGGTTATCTTTTCATTTTGTTTATGGTTTCCTTTGCTGTGCAAAAGCTTTTGAGTTTAATTAGGTTCCATTTATTTATTTTTGTTTTTATTTCCATCACTCTGGGAGACAGATCAAAAAAGATATTGCTGTGATTTATGTCAGAGAGTGTTCTGCCTATGTTTTCCTCTAGGAGTTTTATAGTGTCCAGTCTCACATTTAGGTCTTTTATCCGTTTTGAGCTTATTTTTGTGTATGGTGTTAAAGAATTATCTAATTTCAGTTTTGTACATGTAGCTGTCCAGTTTTCCCAGCACTATTTGTTGAAGAAACTGTCTTTCCACCATTGTGTACTCTTGCCTCCTTTGTTTTAGGTTAATTGACCATATGGTTTATTTCTGGGCTTTCTATCCTGTTCCCTTGATCTATATTTCTGTTTTTATACCAGTACCATACTGTTTTGATGACTATAGCTTTGTAGTATAGTCTGAAGTCAGGGACCCTGATTCTTCCAGCTTCGTTTTTCTTTCTCAAGATTGCTTTAACCTTATGGACACCAAGGGGGGAAAGCGGGGTGGGGGTGGTGGTGGTGGTGGTGGGATGAATTGAGAGATTGGGATTGACATGTATACACTAATATATATAAAATAGGTTAATAATAAAAAAATAAAATAAAAGATTGCTTTGGCTTGCTGTCATCCTTATCTTACTCCTTTGAACATACAATGTTTTGGCTGCTTTTAAGTTTTTCTTTTCATCATTGGCTTTAAACAGTGTGGTTACGATATGCTTTGGTGTAGTTTTCTTCATGTTTCTTGTGTTTTGGGTTTCCTGAAATTCTTGGATCTGTGGGTTTATAGTTTTCATCGGATTTGTAAACACATCAGCCATTGTTTTCTTCAGATATTTGTTCTGTCCCACCTGCACTGTGGGACTCCAGTAGGTTGCTTGAAGTTGTCCCACAAAGAATAACTGACATTCTTTTAATTTGGCAGATTTCCTTTTTCCCTATGTCTTTTATTTTGGATAGTTTCTATTGCTATGCCATTAAGTTCAGTATCTTTTCTAAAATCTAATCTGCTGTCCGTCTCATCCAGTATATTTTTCACCTCAGATATTGTGGTTTCCATCTCTAGAAGTTTGGTTTGTGTCTTTTTTGTATCTTCTAGTTTCTGCTTACGTTTTGAGGATATGGAATGCAGTTACAATAACTATGTGTCTTTGTCTGCTAATTCTAGTATCTGTGTCAGTTTCTCTTGAGTGATTATTCTCTTTAGTATGAGACGTCTTTTTCTGCCTTCTTGCATTCCTGACAGTCTTTGACTGGGTGCCTGACATGTGAAATTTACTTTGTTGGATGCCAGATCATTTTGTCTTCCTCTCAGTCTTCTTGAGCTTTGTCTTGGGATGCAGCTAAGTTACTTGGAAGCAGTTTGATCCTTTCAGGTCTTTTATGATGTGTTAAGTGGGTTTGTTGCCATGGTCAGTCTGGGTTAATTATTCTGTGCTACAGAGGCAGGACCTTCCTAATACTAAATGCCCTTGAATTACATGTTTTTACATGCTGTCTGTGGAGGGGGCACTGTGGCCCAGTGTGAGTGCCACTAGTTCTTTCCCAGCCTCGGAGTTTCCTTACACATGTTCCCTGATCAGTGCTCTCCTGCATACTTGAGGGGGGCCTCTGCAGACCTGTAGGATGCTCTCCTTGCCGGGCTGCTCTCTTCTGTCTGGTAGCCTGTGCTGTGAACTCTGGCTTGCCTTGGTCTCCCTGCGCTGTCAGCCAAGGGAGGCCTCTGTGCTCTGCCACACTGCACTCTCTCTGCACCCCGGCCCAGGGACTCCCTCAGGTCAAGCACAGGGCTCCTCATTTGTTTTCCGAAGCTCAGGATCACTGCCTTCTGTTCTTTGAGGTCTTACTCTTGAAAATTGTTTGTTTTCCCCTTAGATTATTTCAGTTGGGAAGCTAAATTCAGTTCCTTTTACTCCATCTTGGATGGAAGAGAATCTACCCAGAGGGTTTTGACAGATGAATAAACTACTTGGGATCCAAACTATTAAATGAATTATTTTTCCAGCAGAGATTTTTGTTAGTATTTAAAATTCTTTTCCTGATAAACTTCTTGGTTTAATTAAGTTTTCTGTTACCTTTATAGCTTGCCTCTGAAGATTGATTTGCTAGATAGTCCAGACTTACTGGAAACAACCATTGATGATGTAGTTGGGGCACCTGACACCATGGCCATGTCCCAAGCCCCAGGTGAAGTGAGCACAGCCACCAGGCAGGCTGGATTAGAGGGGCTGGAAGGTGAGTGAGGAGTAACTAAACGTTCTGTGTAACATCACTGGCATCGCCCTAGTCTGCCCGCCTTTGAAATGAGCTTAAACAGGCAGTTCCTCTAAGAATATTTTATGCAGTGGTTGGATTTGAAATGTTACTGTAGAATAGTTATGCCTTCTTGCCTTTTTGGCTTAAGGGTCCATTGAAATATTTAAGATCACATAATTGAGACCATTAAACATTTGTATCATTTATAAGTTCTTAAACATTTTTGAATTTTCAAATTTGCTTTTTACTTTGTTCCTTGAGTGAAAATTAATAGTAAAAAGTTTCCTTAGAGATCTAGGGCACAGGATTGAATGAATGTTTGGACATTCCATTAGTTCACAGATAGTATTTTGTTATTAATGAGGGCTGTTGTTGCCCAGACCCACAAAAATAAATAATCCAGAAAGAATGCTGCCTTCCTTAACTTTTTAGAAGGTTAAAAGGAAACAGTAAATTGCACATTGAAAATTTCTGTATACTTGGGAGTTTGATTTGATATTAAAGCATAAACTGTCTTCAAACAGGAGCTTTCTGTTGAATCTCAGTGTGTGTTCATTGAAAAGCAGCTTATGTTTATGTGGCTCTTGCCAATTTTGATTTCTGTTGCTAAAATTAAGACACTCTCTTTAAACAACTTATTGGAAATTGCCAGTGAGTATGCTGTTGTCTCTGAGGAGTGTAGAATACAGCAATAGTATTTAGTAATTTAGAAAGAAGCATTAATGAAAAGTTGCACAGTGCTTCTGCTTCATAGAACATGCTGAAGTACTGCTGGTAACTGGAATTAAAAATTTGTTCTGGGGCTTCCCTGGTGATGCAGTGGTTAAGAATCCGCCTGCCAGTGCAGGAGACACGGGTTCCAGGAAGATCCCACGTGCCGCGGAGTAACTAAGCCCGTGTGCCACAACTACTGAGCCTGCGCTCTAGAGCCCGCGAGGCACAGCTACTGAGCCCACGCGCCACAACTACTGAAGCCCACACGCCTGGAGCCAGTGCTCCGGAACAAGAGAAGCCACCGCAGTGAGAAGCCCGCGCACCGCAACGAAGAGTAGCCCCCGCACGCAGAAACGAAGACCCAGTGCAGCCAAAAATAAATAAATAAGTAAATTTATTTTAAAGAAGAATCACCTGGAGAATTTTTACAACTACCAATACCAGAAAACTACATTCAGAAATCTGATATCATTGTTCTAGGGTCAGCTCTGGGAATCAGTATTTCTTAAAAATTCCACATCTTATTCTAATGTGTAGCCAAGGGAAAGATGTACAGAATTAACTGATGGACACTTTGGGAAGATCCCTTTGACCAAGAGCAAATGATTTCATAGTTTTTCCCTCCCTTCTTCTACCTGACTATATAGAAATTATTAGGCATTCAACAGCTTCTTTGTCAAGTGGACAGTGTAAAATTTCAAACTCCCACCAAATTGGTCCCTGCAAAATAAGATTAATACAACTAACAGTTGTTAAATAGAACTCATTTAAAGCTAAATTGTCTTTAATGTATCATCTTTCAGTGGTTGGAGGATTTTATGTGCAATGTGTTTTGCATGTAGTGAAGCTAAAACGCTTGCCCTTCATCACACCTGACGTCACCAGTACGTAATAGGTTGAGTCAGCGAGTGCATAAATGTGTGTCCTCCATCAGTTTGCTCCACGTAAGTTTAGTTGTAGGCTGTGTGTAGTCAGGGCCAAGGAAAGGAAACAGCCGAGTGCTGAGCTTTGCAGCGGGGAGCTTGGGTTGTACCTAGGAAGGAAGGCCGTGTCACAGGTGCTCTGTGCCTTTTCCTCTACTCTCATGACTGAGCTTTCTTAGCCACACATGCCATGGGGATTCCACATCCAGCAGAGCAGACACAGGGTGATGTTGCTATTTAGGTTAGCTCTTAATCAAATTAATGGAGAGTTTCTTGGTGATGGAATATCTGTTCCGTAGTGATCTGGGTTATTACCTGTAATTGATGGTAACTGATGTTGAGGGGTGTGGAGAAAGCCTAAGTCTTCACCCTTACACGGCTGTGACAGCCTGTCAGACTAAGCGGCTGTTTTCCCGTTTTTTTCCAGCATTAAAAGATGTCTCAGAGAAGCTCAAACACCTTGAAATGGAAAGTGGTCCTTTGCCAGCCAGTCATCCCAACAGGGACGTTAACATCAGCAACCAGGTATTCAGAGTCCTCCTTTGTTTGCCTGTCACACAGCTCCAGACCTCTGAGAAATCATTTCCATCGAAAGCCTTTACTTTTTCTTTTCTTTCACTGGGAAATCTGTCTGTGCTGAACGCTTATAAACCTGTTTTACCATTTACAAAGGTGAAATTCGTGGATGTGCAGGAGGAAACATTGGCATCAACGTTAAGACCTATAAGGTCATCGCAAGTTTTTTTTAAACACAGTCAAAAGTGATATGGTTATTAAACTTTTATTTTTATTCAGCCCAGCCATCCCTGTTGAATGAATTTTGTTTTGGTTTGGTTTTAAAGAGGGAAGGGGAACATCTGACTTGCAGCTCTTTCATCCCTGGACCACTAGCTGGGATTCCTCAGAGACCAGGATGGAGCACAGAGTGATGTCCTTTCTTATGTAGCCATTGTGAAGATTGTCCTTTTGAATCCAAGTCTTTTTTTTCCCCTTCTATTATGTTTTTTCTTAGAAATGTCTTTTAGAAGCTGATTGAATTTCAGAAAGTCTTTCCTGTTTTTGACCCCTCAGTATTTTTCAATTATATTGGTCTGTTTCCTTCACATTGTTATTTTTTTCTGCTGACTCTGTAAGGTAGGGGAATGCGGGGTCAGAGACAGAAGGGTTAATTGAAAGCTTTAGATGCAAGCTTTAGATAGTTGACAATTAATCTGACAAAAATTTGGTGGAGGCCTGGAGTGATCATAAAGAAGAAAGAAGCCAGGTAAACCCTGGCTGGGTTGTGAAGGTGGGGAGCACACTTTGCTATAATGTAACTGAGCCTCTCAACCAGAGGCTCTATTAAATTCGTTGTGAAGCCTTGGGAAAATGAGTACAAATGTGGGTTTAAGATAGGACAGGGAGTAAGAGAGTGGGTTAGGTGAATGGTATGCCATCAAGGCGTATTTTAGGGCTCACATAGCTAGGAAAATAATAGCTAATACTTAGTGAGGGCTTACTCAGTGCCAGGCAGGAATAACAGGAGAGAATTCAGTACTGTACTGATAAATAAGGGATATCAGACTAGTTAATAACTCTTCAGCTAGTGCTGTGTACGAGTTTGTCAACTGAAAAAAAAGCACAACCTAAAAGTTGAGAGATACGTGTTATTTGGTGGACTTTCTTAGTACTTTGAGCCTGGGACACAGCATCTGAGATAGCTCTGAGGGACGGCTCCAAAGAGGCGGGCGAGGATCTATAGGAGTTTTTGCAACAAAGACCAGGTAGTGGGAACATCAAAAGACTACTGTTAATAAAAGAAAACCTGGGGGCTTCCCTGGTGGCGCATTGGTTGGGAGTCCGCCTGCTGATGCAGGGGATGCGGGTTCGTGCCCCGGTCTGGGAAGATCCCCCATGCCACGGAGCGGCTGGGCCCGTGAGCCATGGCCGCTGAGCCTGCATGTCCGGAGCCTGTGCCCCGCAACGGGAGAGGCCGCGGCGGTGAGAGGCCCGCGTACCGCAAAAAAAAAAAAAAGAAAACCAGGCATCTCACATTAAGGAATTTAGTGCTTTTCTATATATGGGAAGATGCAAGAGTCTGGGCTCACTGAAATCATTCTTTTGATATGTACCTCAACTGTCTGGGGCCAAGATCCTGTGCTTTTCCATCCTGAGTCCCCTCAGGGTGCACCGTGTTGGGGGAGGGAGCTGCAGTGGCTGTGCTAGATGAACTTGACAGTGGGCAGCCCATTTGTTTCAGTCCTGAGTTCCCTCAGGGCTCACTGTCAGGCAGCTATAATGTGGTGGCTTGATGGCTGCAACATCCTTTGCTGATATGGCAGCAACATTTTATCTGATTTCTCTACCTCTGCCATCAACAGTTAATGTTTGCCTAAGGAAACATGTAAGAAATTAATCTTAATATCAGCTTTACTGAGTAATTTTAGGCTGAAAAGCCTGTTGTAAATAAAATACATTCTAAAACCAAGTGTCAGTTGTCGGATGATTAGCTCTAAGAATTGGGTAACTGAGAAGCTCTAAGCCAGCCACAGAATCGCGAGGCTCGGACCAGCGCTACTGAAAGCAGAGTGGACCGCAAGCTCGTGTCTTGAGAAGCCACTTCAGAGCGCTCTCCTCCCCGTCAGACCCGCGTCACCCAGGGTCGGTGGGGTCACTTGAGAACCGTACACTGTTGATTCAGTCCTACAAACCTGTTTATTGTTTACTTTTTATCAGATATAAAATAATAAGTATTGCGGGGAATCCACAGAAGAATGACAAAATCTTGGCCCTCTGGAAACTTGGACCTGTCTCACCCGTAGAAATACCGCAGATCTCCTATGCTCAATTTTCAGTTGGCAACAGCTGGGAAGTACAGTTTGAAAGACAAAAGTCAGGATCCACGAAGACCTTGACAGGCTGGAATGATGGTTTGGATTTAAGAATATATATTATGCCCAGTCTGACACAAGTGTAGGATTAGGGTCGGGAGGTAGAATGTAACAAGCATGTGTGAAAAATGTTTGAGAATCTGTAAACGGAGTGTGAAGTGTGGCTGCTGAAACGTCTCTGTTGTGTTAACTGAAAGGGCTTGAAAGGGGGGATCCAACCACAGTATGACAAAGTGAGAGAGAGAAAAGCAACTTAGGCAAACGAAAGGGGTTTGAGAAAGTATGGTGAGGGGTCTTGAGACACAGTTACGGCGGAGGATCAGTAACTCAGGATTATCTGAAGAGCTGTGTATGCTGTGACACAGGAAGTAAAGTGACTTGATCTTTAGTAGCCTCAGAGGAGAGTTAGGGTCAGCGAGAATGATAGAGTTATGCAGATCTCACCTCGGTGTAGGAAAATGCGTCCTAACGTACCTGCAAATTGAACAGGATGCCTTAGGAAGCAGCAGGTTCCCCAGCGTGGGAAGTTGCTCAGGCTAAGACTAACGTAATCAGCTCTTTGGATTTTTGGTGGTGGCGTGAGGCAAGCGTTCTTTCCACCTGGGGATGCTGACACTGATGACTGCCAGTGTCATTGTGGGGATTCTCCCATTCCTTGGGGCCTCCTCATGTTGGAAATGTGTTCACAGTGTCTGCCTGACCTTGTGTTGGAAGTCCTTTAGGGCTTATGCTGTGTCAAGATGAATAGATTTTTGAGTTACCTTCTTCTTCTTAACTACTTGAGACAGTTCCAGAATTTTCTTTATCTTCAAATTTCATTTCAAGAATCATTTTTTTCTTGTTCCTTGATCAGAAAATTTTACAGAATGCTTAAAGTAACAAAACCTAACCTGCGCTTGTTAGTGGGATCGGGGCACAGTGAAGGCGTGGTCTTTAAACGCTCATCTTTTTAGAGAAAGCATTAAAAATCAGGCACGATGACTGTTCTCTTGACCACAGGTTGGCAGCCTGTTTCCTTAAAAGGTCAGTAAATAGTTAATCTAGGCTGCCGTACAGTCTCTGTCATTGTACTCGACTCTGCCACCGTGGCAGGAGAGCAGCCACTGGGCCTGGGGGTGGCCGTGTTCCCATCAGGTTTACTTACTACAGCAGGTGTGGGCCAGGTTTGGCCTGCAGGTTGTCCTTCTCTTGTTGGGAATGTAATCTAGCAGCAGGTTGCTACCACACAAGATTTGGAATAATCTTTGTCGTTTTTACGCTTTTGATTTTCTTTGTATCCGAACCTTAATAGGGTATAACCAACAAGTATAGCAAAACCCAAAACCTGCACTCTGAATAAAACAAAGCAAAAAGATGAACTTATTGCAAGGATTTTGACCTGCAAGCCTGGAAACTCAAGACTGTGGGAGCAGTAAGTTCCAAATTGCTGACAGATTAATAGGGGTTTTATGGGAGAAATGCAGAATTTTTTTGTTTTTTTCAGCTACTTGGTTGCCTAGTGGTCTTCTTTCTTATTTGGATCAGAGTAGCTGAGTTAGGGGAACAGGAAGCCCAGAGCTGGCTTGGACGGACTTGGTGTGTGGGGCTTGGCTGGGGTCTTCTGCTGACCTCAGAGGAAGAGCTGTACGTTCTGTGCAAGGTTAGGTTAAGTGTCCTTTGTGTGCCCGTGTTGACCGTCTCCATTTTGTCCCTGACACAAGTGATTCCAAACGTTTTATTGATAGTCTGGTTCTGTAAGTGGTTACTTTCTTTCCCTCTACCCTCAATTTGGACACAGAAGGTGTGGTGATGGGTGTGACTTCCCTTTGGGGAAGTCTTCAGATATTAGCCATGCAAAGGTCACCCTTGTCCAGGGATCTGTGAGCTGTTGTGTATTATGTAAGTAGTAAATAGAAATGATACTTTTACAAATGCAAAGGCAAATACTTCCTATTTGACAGTAATTGCTGTAGGGGAGAAAAATAATTTCCTCCTCTACCATTCTCAGTTCTTGGCTGAGACCTCTGTTTCAAAAGACAGATTAACAAGAGAAAAACAGAAGTTTATTGATATGTGTATCTCAGGTATAGATGAGAAATACCAGGGAAGAATGAGTAACTCTCAGAGGTGGCTTAGAATTGCAGCCAAATACCATCTTCAGCTGAAGTCAGAAAGAAGAAAGGTGTAGTTGGTGGAGAGTACATGGAAAGGCGGGGTAAACAGCAGTAAGGCTTGTTATACAGCTTTAAGTCCTTGCTTTTCATGGTAAGGGTTTGAGTTGTTTGCAGGGACTAACATTTGTCCTTCCTGGTAGAGAGGGAAGGAGGGACTCCTTTGTAAATTTCCGTTCTGCTTTTAGGCATATAGGGTAAGGACAGAGCGTTTCTTCTATCTGCTGCTTCTCAATTGCCTTCAGCTCAAAATAATATGCCCCAAAGTGGCATATTTGGGGATGGCGTATTCTGCTACCTCTTGACATTTTCAGCTTAAAGAATAGTTACTAATATTATACTAATATTGTTGGTGCAGGTTTTTTATTTTTTTAATTTAAACAATTTTTAATTTTTATTTTATGGCCGCACTGTGCAGCATGTGGGATCTTAGTTCCTCAACCAAGGGATCGAACCCACGCCCCCTGCAGTGTTAACCACTGGACCACCAGGGAAGTCCCAGGTGCCAGTTTTTTAAAGAATAATTCTTAAGTCTGGAAATCAGGCTGTTAAGCTGTTGGTATCTTAGCATTTTTTAGTTTCCATGGTAAGCTAGCTCTAAAAGTTCACATCTCTTTTATCATGATCTCAGGGACTCTTCTGGCTTCATTTAGATACATTCAGCAGTTGAAGGGGAAGAAAGTTTATAAAGTGGTTAAAACTTTTGTGTATATTTAGGTAAAATACAAGGCAAATTGTGTATTCTTCTGAAGCAAGATTCTTGCAAATCATGGATCTGCCCATGAGTCATTATAAGGAGTGCCTTAAACCCTATGAAATTGAATACATGTTCTTGTCTTTGATTCACTTATACGTTTTTCTGGAAAGTGGGTCCAAATTTTATTAAATTCTCAAAAAGAGTGAACCATACCAACCTTAAAATAACTCTTTGCGTCTCTCCAAGGTTAGAACTAAAAAGAACTTCACTTTAGTTAAAAGGCTTATATAATTTTTTTTCAATTAAACAGTTTCAGTTTTTCTGAGCCATTTAAAGAAGGAGCTCTCCGAAATAAGACTTCTCTTCTAGCCAGGATTGTTTCAAGAGTGGTTTTTTTGTTTTGTTTTGTTTTTTGCGGTACGCGGGCCTCTCACTGTAGCAGCCTCTCCCATTGTGGAGCACAGGCTCCAGACGCGCAGGCTCAGCGGCCATGGCTCACGGGCCCAGCCGCTCCGTGGCATGTGGGTTCTTCCCGGACAGGGGCACGAACCCGTGTCCCCTGCATCGGCAGGCGGACTCTCAACCACTGCGCCACCAGGGAAGCCCTCAAGAGTGGTTTTGAGTTTAGATCTGATGGCATTCCGGTTGAGAACTTCAAACACTGAGTGGCCCTGCTGAGTTTATGATTAATCTCTCTATCCAAAAACTTCATTCCCTTTCTTGTCCTGCCCCTGTTCCCCTCAGGATTGAGGAGGATCAAAGAAAAGGGGGGACTGAAACCAAGCAGGACCCCGTGGGGCCCTCCCAGGAACAAAAAGCCTCTCCATGTCCCCCGTTTCTTGTTTGTGGGAAACAGGCTGTAGCCTCCTGGGCCTTTCCTGAGTTCCAGAGAGCTGACTCTAGCAGCTAATGATTAGGACAGTAGAGTCCCAGGGCTCCTAGCTCCTCCTGAAGGGATGTGGATAACCGTCTGCTGCATATCTCTGAGCTGTTCTGCAGAAGCTGAGACCCCCACCCTCTGCGGGATGGTGACGACATGCTGACCACAAGCATGTCAACCCGAGACTGGTTGGAACCGGAAGGTTGAGGTTCCCGAGTCATCACCCTTTTTACCACCAGCCAATCAGAAGGAGGTCCACAGGTTGATCACGTATCCTGGACCCTCTCCCCTAACAATGTCTTTAAAGACCCTTGCTTGAAAGCCGTCGGGGAGTTCAGATCTTTTGCACATGATCTGCCCGTTCTCCTTGCTCGGCACCCTACTTTGCTGCAAACACCCACGGTCAGAGTTTGGCTTTCTGTGCTGCGAGCACACGACCCCTTGCTTGGTAACAGACTGAAGCAGACTTTGGATGACTTTAACCCGACTTAAGCTTCTAACTAAGCTGACTGAGGGCAGCACGGACAGCTCTACAGGAGAGTTTGAGCATCCAGTCATGTTAGAACAGGTCTAATTTGGGGTGTTTAGGAATCAGAGTGTCTTTTAGTTCTTTCGGTCTTCTGTTTGCACATTTTGGCCATCCAAGGCAGGCATATCAGCAGCATAGTAACACAATATACAGATTTTAAAAAGCAGGACATTATCTAACCTCCGTTATCCCAGTACTAAGAGGTAACTATGGTTAACATTTTAAACCAAACCTTGAAATGTGATATATATTTTTTTAAATAAAAATGCACTAACACTTTTTTATAACCAATCCATTATAACTCTCTTTATTTCAATAACATATTACTGATAATAGTTGAATGGCATGCATATATCATCACTGCATTTACTCAGTCTCCTATTAGTCATTTAGATTGTTGCTAATTTTCACCGTCATAATCAGGGCTCTGATAGTCTTATGTAAGTATCTGCCATCATCTTTGATTATTTTACTGCGGAGTAGAAGTGTTAGGTTTGGGACTTCCCTGGTGGTCCAGTGGTTAGGACTCTGCACTTTCACTGTCTGGGCCAGGTTCAGTCCCTGGTCTGGGAACTAAGATCCTGCAAGCCGCATGGTATGGCACAGTGTTAGGTCAAATTTCAGGAATAATTTTAAAGCCTTTGGTACTTTTGCAAAATTGCCTTCCAGAAAGATGGTAACAGTCACGGGTACTTTTACCTGTGATACGTGTGTTGAATTCTTGTTTTTGTTTTTAATATAGGCAGGAAAATAAACACTTGCCTATATCAGAGGCAGGTTGCTCTGAGAATCCTGTGATGTGCAAATATAAATGATTAGCAAATGATCTCAAGTCTGCAATGTAATTGTCTCTGAAAAGAAAATGTCAAAGCATTTGAACTAGCCATGATACTTTCCCAGCTTTACTGAGGTATAATTGACAAATAAAATTTAAATACCTTTAAAGTGTACACCTTGATGATTTGGTGTAAGTATACATTGTGAAGTGATTCCTGCTGTCCAATTAGTTGACATATCTGTCACCTCACATAAGTTACCTTTTTGTTTTGTTTTTTTGGAGAGAGCACTTGAGATCTACTCTCTCAGCAAATTTCAAGTGTAAAAAACAGTATAATTAAGTGTAGTCACCATGCTGTACATTGGGTCCTCGGGATTTATTCATCTGATAACTTGTACCAACCTCCTCCTGCTATCCCACCCCCTAGTCCCTGGCAACCATTCTGCTCTCTGTTTCTGATTTGGAATTTTTTTTTAGGTCCCACATCTGAGTAGTGCCGTGCAATATTTGTTGTTCTCTATCTGGCTTGGTTCACTTGGCACGAGGCCTCCAGCTTCATCTGTGTTGTTGAAAATGGCGGGATTTCCTTCCTTTTAAAGGCTGAACAGTATTTCCTTGTGTGTGTGTATTTATGTGTGTGTGTGTGTGTGTGTGTGTGTGTGTATTTTACATCCTCTTCATCACCTGTTGACAGGCCCTCTGGTTGTTTCCATGTCGTGGCTGCAGTGCACATCGGGGTGCAGGTTTATTTGGGATAGTGATTTTGTTTCCTTTGGATGTAAGCCCAGAGGTGGGCTTGCTGGGTCATCTGGTGGTGAAGTAGGTATGGTTGAGAAAGGGCATCAGGTCTTCTTTCACTTGCTGAGAACCACTCTGAAGACTAGGAAGTTAGGGCTTCCCTGGTGGCGCGGTGGTTGGGAGTCCGCCTGCCGATGCAGGGGACGCGAGTTCGTGCCCCGGTCTGGGAGGATCCCACATGCCGCGGAGCAGCTGGGCCCGTGAGCCACGGCCGCTGAGCCTGCACGTCCAGAGCCTGTGCTCCGCAACGGGAGAGGCCACAACGGTGAGAGGCCCGCGTACCGCAAAAAATAAATACAAAAAAGACTAGGAAGTTACAGTCTAGTGCAAAGTAGTGATTCTCAAGCGTTTATAGGTATCAGAATCACACAGGGAAGCTTGTTAAACATTCACATTTTAGGATCCCACCCAGAGGCAGATGTGTGGAGACCACACTTAGAAAAAACAGATTAGAATAAGCACATTAGTTAAATATTTTCAAACGTGAAAGAGCGGTGCAGTATGTAATCCCATACGTGGCAGCTAGCCTGTTTTATAGAACAAAAGCTGTATCTGAGACGAAGAAAGTATTTAGAGTGAGTTTGTTATTTAGCCCAGTGTTAAATGGTAACCATAGTAATGATAATGGTAGTTGTTGTTGTTATTGATTGGCATTCAAGTCAGGTAAAATATCAGTTGTAGTGCAGATAATTTAAACTTATTAGTTTGCTTTCTCCCATTTCCTTTCATAATAGTTAATTTATATTGTTTCAATCATGATCTTCATTCAGTGGACTTGGACTTTATTTTATCATTTTTGTTAAGTCTTTACCTGATAGTGACCTCCTTCTGGCCATGTAACATAATCTCAAACACAGTCATCTACCTGGTGACAGTTCCAGAATCACAGGGTTTAGCCTGCGTAGGGCCTGACCTAAAATCCAATTGAAATTAATTACAGCAAAAGGCACACATTTTGTGGTTTATTTCAGGCATTTGTCCAGGGTGGTATCGTTAGTTATTCAGTTGCTTAAAGACAGGAAATTGGGCTAGATGATTTCCAGGGGTCCCTGCCAAGTCATAGTTCTTGTTTGTGATTACTGTGCCTTAGTTTGAAACCCCATGTAAGAGTCGACTCTTCCTGGAGTAGGATATGACTGCCCGAGGCACATGATTCCCTGATTGTCTGAATATGAAATTTCATCAGTCCTTTTCTGTTTCCATTGAGTTATATTCTCTCAGAGTTGCTTACAGTATATTTTTAATATCTAGGAGGAAGTGGTGAAGTTAACTGAGAAATGTCTGAATAATGCCATTGACAGCCCAGCACTGAATGCCAGGAGAGTTCCTCCTGACTTGAAGAGTAACATTTTGAAGGCTCATGTAGAAGCAGTGCAGAAGGTAAGCTGCCTTTACGAGGGTCCTGGTGAAGTGGAAGGAGACCCTGTAGAGCAAAGAAAGTATACAAACGGTAGACATGAGGGACTTGGCCGCTGATTAGAGAGAGAGTAGCAGCAGGAAGCACACTCAAGATGGCAATGCCGGAACTTGCCTGGCGGTCCAGTGGTTAGGACTCTGCGCCTCCACCGCAGAGGTGCGCGTTCCATCCCTGGTCAGGGAACTGAGATCCTGCATGCAGCACAGTGCGGCCAAAAAAAGGGAAAAAAAAAAAAAAAAAAAGATGGCACATGCCTTCCCAACTCCACATTCTACTCGGGCAAGATTAAGAGCAGGGAGTCACAGGATAAAAAGAGTAAAGATGCTGCTCTACAGTATAATAAGTTTAAAAAAAAAAGTCAAAATTCCTGTAGAAGTGAGTCCCTAATCTTTGTCACTTTTATAGCTGGAAACTCTACAGTGATTTTTAGGTTCCTGTCAATATTAAGTCTATGACTTTAGGTCTTTCTTTATCAATTCATTGTTCCCCACCACCCATCTACCCCCAATTCAACAAAATTGTGATGTTATTGGCAACAGAGTGATGGTTATAAGGCGAAGAGTTGGCTGTGTCGTCTCATGAAGGGTGCAGTGGGTAGGGACCAGCCCCCATGAAGTTGATGGCGTCCGTGCTCTCAAAATCAGCTTTTCCTTGGCCTTCCCCAACTTTCAGATTATCCTCTGCACTGAAGCAGGACAGAAGCCTGTCTCACCAAGTCCGGTTGTCAACTAGGATTTCAAAATAATCCTGTTGTTGGGAAGGGGCTCTTTACCCGTTGTGTTCCCAGGCACAGACCTTGAAGAGAGCTGAGAGGACTTGAGGAATGTCGTTCATGCACTTTATGTACCTTCTCACCCCAGTGTAAACATAAAACATAATATTTATATATAAAATACGGCAGTACACGCTCTGGAATCAGACAACTGGAGTTTGAATCCTGTTTCTAATCTACTAGTAGCTAGTCACCGATTAGCTTTGTGACTTGGCAAGTTAGTTAATTTCCCTGAGCCTCAGTTTAATTATGTTTAAAAAGGGGTAATGGTAATACCTTCCCGAAGGTGGGTTATAAGGATGAAATAAAATGATAAAGGTAAAGGCCACAGAATGGCTTCTGGCACAGAATTAGTGTTTAGTAAGTGTTGATCCTGATGTTGACACTACCTATTGTAGCAGCAGTGGTGGTGACAGCTTTTCGTCACCTTACGTTTCAGTTGTACTTTGGATCTGTTTTGACTTGAGCAAGAGAGAAATAACTTGAATAGCCCTAAATGAAAGATTTTGTTTTATAGTTAAAATCATCCCACAAAGAAAAATTCAGGACCAGACGCCTTCATTGTTAAGGCCTACTGAACATCTAAGGCAGAAGTAATGACAGTCCTACACAAGCTCTTTCAGGAATTAGAAGAGCAGGGAGCACTTCCCAACTCGTTTTATGAGGCTAGTCTTAGCCTGACACCAAAGCCAGAGAAGGAGAGTACAAGAAAAGCAGCTACAGACCAGGACTGTTCTTGAACATGGACTCGAAAGCCCTTAACAAAGCGGAAGCAAATCACACTGAACAGCTTATAAACAGGATAGTACACCATGGCCAAGTAGGGTTTATCTCAGGAAAAAAGTTCGTTTATCGTTCAAAAACCAGTATAGTATAACATATTAAAAAATAAGGAAAATTGTCTCAATTTATTTGGAAAAGGCATTTCACATTATTTAACACTTGTTCATGATAAAAGCTCACAGCAAACTAGTAGTAGAATGGAACTTCAGCCTGATAAAGGGTATCTATGAAAAAAAGTCTACAGCTAACATTGTAATTCATAGCTAAAGTTAACAACTGACAGGCCTGTGACTGCCTGCAATGCACGCAGCTGGTAAGAACATAAAATGTTCCAAGTACTTTATAAAGGAGTTGGTAAGGGCTTCCCTGGTGGTGCAGTGGTTGAGAGTCCACCTGCCAATGCAGGGGACACAGATTCGATCCCTGGTCTCGGAAGTTCCCACATGTGGTTGAGCTACTAAGCCCGTGTGCCACAACTACTGAGCCTGCACTCTAGAGCCCATGAGCCACAACTGCTGAAGCCCGTGTGCCACAACTACTGAGCCTGTGCACCTAGAGCCCGTGCTCCACAACAAAGAGCAGCCCCGGCTCTACACAACTAGAGAAAGCCTGCGCGCAGCAACAAAGACCCAATGCAGCCAAAAATTAATTAATTTTGAAAAAAAGAGGTGGTAAAATAGTAAACGTACACTTAGCATATGACCAGCAGCCCCACTCTCAGGCATTTACTCAAGAGAAGTGAGAGCGTAGGTTCACACAGGTACTAGTACGTGAATGTTCCTGGCACCTTTGTTTGTAATAGGTGAAAACTAGAAACGATCCAAATGTCCATCAGCAAGTAAACAGATAAACAAATTGGGGTGTATCCATACAGTGGAAAGCTACTCAGCACGCAAAAAAGGAATGCATTAGTGACACGTGCAACACCATGGGTGAACCTCAAAAACATCCTGTTAGTCTAAAGAGGGAGCCCCAAAAGGATGCTATGATTCCATTTATATGAAACTATGGAAAGCACAGATCACTGCTGGCCACGTGTATGGGTTTTTGGTGGGATTGTATCGGAAGCCTCAAGGGAACATTTGGGGTAGTGGAAGTGTTACATATGTTGATTGTAGTGTTGATTATGTACCAAACCGTGTGTGCATTTTACTGTATGTAAATGATACCTCAATAACTGACCTCTTTAGAATTCTCCTCTGAAATATTCCTTGTACTCAGGGAAAAACAAAGCCAGATATGCAGCTTAATATGTTTCTGCTTTTTATCATGTAAATTTGAAAAATTCTGGCATTGAATCTTTTTGGATTCTGTGTACATTGACTAACATATCATTGTGTCTTAAATAATTTAGAGCTGTCCAGTAAAGCGTATGGATTCATAGACCAACATATTGAAGTGGAAACTTGGAGTATGAATTTGGGCGTGGGATAGGGTTGTGCTGGGTACAGTACTGATATTTCCATAGATAAGTTGTGGTTACCTCTTTCTGGAACTGAAGCAAACAGATTGTTTCTATTTTTACTGGAAAGGAATGTAAATTTATTACTTTATTACCCACGAGAGAGATTTAATTTTTTTAATTAATTTTTATTGGAGTATAGTTGATTTACAATGTTGTGTTAGTTTCTGCTGTACAGCAGAGTGAATCAGTTAATATATCCACTCTTTTCTAGATTCTGTTCCCATATAGGTTATTACAATGTATTGAGGAGATTTAATTTTTATGATTTCTTTTTCTTAGGTTACAAGAGAAGATAGCTTATTAAGTCATAAAAATGCCAGTGTTCAGGATGCTGCCACCAACAGGTACAGTTGTGGGTAGACTGAATTAAATTGGTGTTCTCTTCCTCTTAACTTTCTTTGGGGGGTGTTTTTTTCCTCTTTCCCACTCTGTGATCACATGGTTTCAGGATATCTATTTGAAAGATAGCCTGAAATCACTGTTCTATCCACTACATAGATTCTTAGGACCTAATTTTAGATCATTTGAAGATACTCCTAATTAATCTTTTCATCCTGATTCTTCTTCAGCTGATTCAAACTGTAGAGCAGAAACAGCCTTTGAAGATATTTTTAATCTCATAAGATACCTGGTGAAGAATGTGTACTATTTCTCTTAGGTGTGGTAGTTGCCTTAGTGCCATGCTGTTGGCAGGGTGGGATTGCTCTTATAAACTGTCTTACTATGGGCTCTCACATGACGCAAGCAGATTTCTTTGCTGTTCCCTCTGAGTTCCTTCTGCCTGTCTTTTCTTGTTGAGTGTTATGCCATGTCTCTGTCTTACTAGACTTCCATCCCCTGCTCTGTTGCAGTTTGTTTCGTTCGTCCCTGCGTATCCAGTGTTCTGTGCTTAGTTGGCGCTAAACATTGTTGAGTGAATGTGTTTCTTTTCCCGTTATCCAGAACTTATGCAGTGAAGAGTTTTCTGATTAGTGATATTCAGTTCCAGGTGCTGTAATTAACATAGCACTTAAGCACATGCTTCGTGTAAAGGACTTTACAGTTAGTACTCAGCAAACCTACTACTTGGTGATCGGGGTACAACTGGAATTACAGCTTAACCTTTTCTAAGAAATCAGTTTGCCCACAACATTTTTAATGCTATTGTTGTTTTTATTGGAGCTTTTTAGAGTAACCTCATCACAGACTTTTTTGCCAAGAGGAGGATGATGGGGATGTGACGACCCAGTTGTTTATCAGAAATTTCATTGAACTCTGGAAGGTGGACAGGTCCTGGAATGGACTCCAACTTCCGGATTTGTTTTTCCAAATGGCTGTTGGTATTTTGAATAATCTGTTTTCCTCCCAGGATTTGACATGGATCCTTTAAGATATGTTTATGTTCTTAGACAAACCTGGGTCTGTTTCTGGATCTTTTCCTTTTCTGGTACTGTTTTTTTCCTCGTGCCATACTACACTTTTAAAAAGTTGCTGTACCCCCTTTTTAAAAGGAAATATTTCAGGCACACAGAAAGGTGTGGAGACTATATAATACGTGTCTGTGTACCAAATGTCAAGCTTTGTCACGTCCTCATATTTTGCTGTCGTAGATTTAGATCATTTTGCTTTTATCTTTTTTTTTGAGCTGTAATTCCTATACAGAACCCTTTAAAAGTAGGCAATTTAATGCATTTTAGTGAATTGACCAAGTTGTGCAACCCTAACCACTCTCTAATTCCATAATATTGTCCCCTCACCCCTAACGGAAGCGCCCTCCGCATACGCTGGCTCTCCACATCGCTCCTCCAGCACCTGGGAGCCACCCACCTACTTTCTGCCTGCACTAGATTTGCCTGCTTCGGACAGTTCATATAACTGGACTCATACAAATATGTGTCTGGTTTTTTTCATTTGACATAATGTTTTCAAGGTTCATCCATATTGTAGCCTGTATTGGTACTCCATGGCTGCATAATATTCCATCGTATGTCCATGTGTCAATGGATGGACATTCGTGTTGTTCCTGCTTTTTGGCTACTGTGAATATAGCTGTTGTTGAACATTCCCACACGAGGATTTGTACATTTACAGTGTACGATTCAGTCGCTTTTGTTTTGATATATCTGAATCTTTAAAAACTTATCCATGGTTTCTTCATTTCAGTTGCCACAATATATTCATTTTTTAATTTATGGACAAATGTTTGTTCCCGATTAACATTGCACATGTTCTTCATTATACACACATGTTGTAAGGATTTTTCATCTGCTTTCTGTGTTTTGCAGCAGTGTAAACTACATTAAGACTAATCTTTTTTTCTCCTTTTTTTTTTTTTTCGGTTTGGCCTCAGGATTCTTTTTTTAAAATTGAAGTATAATTGATATACAATATTATGTTTGTTTAAGGTGTATAATATAATGATTCAATAGTTTTATAGATTATACTCCATTCTTAAATTTATTATAAATTGGGTATATTTATATCCTTGTAGCCTATTTATTTTATACATAGTATTTAGTTTATACTTATTGATTTCCTATCCCTATCTAGCCTCTCCCCACTTCCCTCATCCCACTGGTAACCCCTAGTTCTCTTTATCTGTGAATCTGTTTCTGTTTTGTTATATTCATTTGTTTATTTTTTAGCTCCCACATATAAGTGATAATATACAGTATTTGTCTTTCTCTGTCTGACTTATTTCAGTAAACATAATACCCTCTAGGTCCATCCATGTTGTTGCAAATGGCAGAATTTCTTTTTTATGGCTGAGTAATATTCCACTGCATGTATACACCACATCTTCTTTATCCATTCATCTTGATGGACGCTTAGTTTGCTTTGTATCTTGGCTATTGTAAATAATGCTGCTGTAAACATTGGGGAGCGTGTATCTTTTTGAATTAGTATTTTTGCTTTCTCCGGATGTATATCAGAAATACAATAGAATTGCTGGACTGTATAGTAATTCTATTTTTAGTTTTTTGAGGAACCTCCATACTGTTTTCCATAGTGGCTGCACCAATTTATATTCCCACCAGCAGAGCACAAGGGTTCCCTTTTCTCCACATCCTCACCAACATTCGTTATTTTTGCTCTTTTTGACCATAGCCATTCTGACAGGTGTGAGGTGATACCTCATTGTTTTGATTTGCATCTCCCTGATGATGAGCGATGTTGAGCATCTTTTCATGTGCCTATTGGCCATCTGTATGTGTTCTTTGGAAAAATGCCTATCCAGGTCTTCTGCCCACTTTTAATTGGTTTGTTTATTTATTTTTTTAATATTGAGTTGTATGAGCTATTTATGTATTTTAGATATTAACCTCTTACTGGTCATAGCATTTGCAAACATTTTCTCCCATTCTGTAGGCCATCTTTTCATTTTTTCAGTGGTTTCCTTTGCTCTACAAAAGCCTTTAAGTTTAGTTAGGCCCCATTTGTTTAGTTTTGCTTTTGTTTCCTTTGCCTTAGGAGACAGATCCAAAAACAATATTGCTATGATTTATGTCAAAGAGTGTTCTACCTTTGTTTTCTATTGGTTTTATGGTTTCTGGTCTTACGTTTAGGTCTTTTATCCATTTTGAGTTTATTTTTGTATATGGTCTGAGAAAGTGTTTTAATTTCATTCTTTTACATGTAGGTGCCCAGTTTTCTAAGAACCATTTACTGAAGAGGCTGTCTTTTCCCCAGTGTATATTCTTGCTTCCTTTGTTGTGGATTAATTGACCCTAAGTGCATGGGTTTATCTCTGGGCTCTCTGTTCTGTTCCATTGATCTATGTGTCTGTTTTTGTGCCAGTACCAGCCTGTTTTGATTACTGTAGCTTTGTAGTATAGTTTGAAGTCAGGGATACCTCCAGCTTTATTCTTTTTTCTCCAGATTGCTTTGGCAATTGGGGTCCTTTGTGTTTCCATATAAATTTTACGATTATTTGTTCCAGTTCTGTGAAAAATGTCTGATAGGAAGTTTGATAGGGATCACATTAAATCTGTAGATTGTTTTGGGTAGTATGGACATTTTAACAAGATTAATTCTTCTAATACATGAACATGGGATATCTTTCCATTTCTTTGTATCATCTTGAGATTTCTTTGTCAATGTTTTCAGAGTTTAGTTTTCAGAGTATAGGTCTTTTGCCTCCTTGGTTAAGTTTATTCCTAGGTATTTTATTCTTTTTGATGCAGTTTTAGACAGGGTTGTTTTTTTGATTTCTCTTTCTGATAGTTTGTTATTAGCGTGTAGAAAAGCAGGACTAATCTCTTGTTGAGGGGCTGGGAGACTTCATTGTGAAATGTATTTCACTCCTTTCGGGGCTCACTCCTTTAGTCTCAGCTGTTTCTTTTCTTTGGAGCACAAAGTTATCTTTTCTCTCTGGTAGCTTTTAGGTTTTTCACTGCTTATTCTGGAGATTCTGCATTTTCATTACTGTGCATCTAAGTATAGTTTTATTTTTCATTCTTGTTAGTATTCAAGGTGGTGTTTCAATCTGAAGACCTATGTCTTTTTTTTAGTTTTGGAAAGTCATAAGCCCTTATCTTTGTGAATATCCAGCATCCGTTAGACATTAGCTGAAATGCCCCGATCCCTTCTGTCTCTCGTAACTATTCCTTCTTACTTTTCATCTCTCTGCCTCTGTGTGCCTCGGTGCTGTGGCTGCAGTAGTCCTAGCTTCCGTCTAGCTCCCGAGGCTGACTTTTCCATCTAGGATTTGCCTCTTGTTTTTTCTCAGTCTCCCTGTGGGATTGGACGGGCACTGCTCCTGTCACTTGCATGCTTTCCAGTGATGCTGGAGAGGACTGGGGTCCCTGCCGGGTGTGTCATCCTGTTGGGTGGCGGTCTCTTGGCTTCCCCGTCTCCTCCCTGGCATCGAGGCTGCCTGTTCTTGTGATCCTCACCTGGGGTTGACATCCTTGTCCTTCCTGCTGGCATCCTCTCCCGGGCCGATCCCGCCGCCGCGTCTGGAGCCCTGGAGGTGGGCCGCTGCCCCGTGCCGCGGAGTGTGCTCCCACCTGCCTCCTGCAGGGGCTTCCTGCCTCGTTCTCCGCGCCTCAGGTGTTCCGTGTCACTGAGCTGTCCTGTTCCTGATCTGTCTTCTTCGTGTATCTGTCTGTCTTGTTTTGTGTATCTGCCTAGTCTTTTACATGATTTCTCTAGATCGGTTGTTCTTTGGAGTAGACTGTAGCATCTAATCTGCCCATAACCCTGAAATCACCTCTTGTACTGTGTGTTTCACGGTTTTCGGCGTTTCCTCAAAGCTCGTGAGCTACCACTGACATCCTTTATTGGTTCTGAAGTTTTATGAGTTTATTCTTTTGTTAAAAAGAAATCTTTTCTGTCATTTCATTGAGCTTCAGGAGGGAAGCAAAGCACTAGTGAACGGGTCTGACCTGGTTGCGAACCTGTTATGCAATGGGTGGGGAGGGGTTCATGGTGGTGTGTGGGGCAGCGCGGACCACTATCTGCCCCCCGCCACCCCTCGCTGTCTCTTCCTTCCGTGCGGGGTAGTTACCCTGCTTCCCCGAGCCGCCTCCTTCAGCACACTGCCTGTTGCTCCTGCATCGGTCGTCCGTGACACAAACCTGTCTTTGTCTTCCTAGTGCTGAGTTAAATGAGAACGCCATGCCCGGCCCTGGAGGGTCTCTCATTCCGATGCGAACCACACCTGCAGAAAATGGGCCTGCTCTAAAGGTAACGATTCCTTCCACTTTCAAGGTTGCTCCACAGAGACTCCCTTGCCTTGAATCCTGGTTGTACAGGACACCTGGTGATCTCTGACGGCCACCAGAACGTCAGCCGTGAGAAGAGCGTTGAGCCTCACTTCTCTAGGGAGAATCCAACTGTCACATCCCTCCCAAGAGCAGCTCAGGGTTTCTTCTCCATTTTTGAGGTATTTGTTGGTAGTTTTGTTTTTAGGGGGTCTCGGTGTTTTTGGGTTTTGGATTTGGGCTATGCTACCCTAGTGTCTCAGACTTTACATGACACATGACAGGCACTAAATAAATATTGATGGATCGAAATTGACTTTCTGACACTGATTGTGTTGTAACATAACCAGCTTGTCTCAAATTCTGCCTCTCCTCTATCCATCGGCCGTACAGTCTTAGCAGGTCACAAGTCACAGAGACCCAGCTCATGCCCAGTGAACGCTTTCATTTGCAAGTTAAACAAAAAATTATTTTTGTAGATGAACATTTACCATTTTGTTCTTTTATAGTGCAACCACATTTATTGTAGAAGTTTACCAAATATTTCATGAAAACAACACATTAGAAATCACCTGATTCCCACTACCCAAAGACAGTGTGTAGTTAATATTCAGGTGTATAGTTTTTCAGGCTTAGGGGTTTAAAAAAAAAAAACTCAACCTAAAATACCTTTAATCAGGAGATTTCTTTCTGCTAATTAAAATTCTAAAAAGATACACTGACATCTCTGATCACTGAAAATCGTTAGTTGGAACCCGAGATGTTTTTGGAACAGAGAAGGACAGTTAGCCCAAAGATTTATTGCATATTGTACCAGACAGCGTGATAGGCTTTGAAAATTCAAAAATGAGTGAAACATGGCCTCTTCTTTCAAACTGCTTCCAGCACAGTTGGAGAGAGAATTTTGATACGTTGTGGTAGAGATATGCACAGGCCACCTGGGGGGCCCACTCAGGTCGCAGGGTGTGGGGGGGGGGGGGGGGAGGGGGGGGGGGAGGAGACAGGCAGGTTTTCATATGTGCGATTAAAATTCAGTTGACATCGAACAGGAAACACACGGTGGCCTGAAGACAGGCAGAAATGTATAAATGAAGGGCCTTTTTTGTTATGGACTACACCCTGGATACTTACTTCTCTTATTTCCAGACTGGAATTTTATCTGTTATCCTTTTAAAATTCTTCCTGTGCCCAGAAACACACACACACTGCAGTACAGAACTCTGTTTCTATAAGGTGCTTCAAATACTAATTAGACAAAAGTATTAACATTTATGGGGGGGTTATATTATACTCTTTGTGAACAGTGAAGCATCCATGTGGATAAAGAAGCATTCCAAGTTCAGGCGTGTCCTTAGTCATCGTCTCCTGGGCTGAACCTTTAGCCTCTGCCATCTGGTTTAAGAACTGAGAGCCGGGACGGTCCTAACCCTACACAAGTTTTGTCTCACCAGAAGGAATAGTTGTATGAAAATTCACATGACACTTCAGCTTTTTAAAGTTCTGACTAGTCTAGGTTCCCCTCCAAACAAAAGTGGAATCACTAATAATCGTGATTCCTGAGGGTCCCCTTCGTTTAAAGGTTAACACCATCCAGGCCTGGGTCCAAATTATACATTGAGAGGATATGGAAAAAATCTAGTCTGGTGACTAATGGGTCATTTAACATCCGTGTATCTTGTCTTCTGTAGGATGCTACAGATGAATTGGATGCCTTGCTTTTATCTCTAACTGAGAATCTCATTGACCACACAACCACACCTCAGGTAAATAGGCTTTAAAACAGCAGGATGGAAAGGTATTTCTGTTTGAAAATGCTCCCAGTAGATTCCAGTTCTTGCCTTTTCTGCAGTTTAGTAAAACTTTTCATTTAGTAAGTGTTTATATTTCGGTAGCCACCTAGCATTGCCTTTTCTATAGGGAAGTTCTGCCCTCTTGAATCTGTGTGTCACTGGACAGCAGCCACATGTTGCTGAGCCTCTTTGTAACTCAGCACCCTGTTAAGTAGTGTGAGAGGGACATGTGGGGGTAAGCCAGCTTCTGAAGAGTTCAGACAGTAAGACCTCCAGGTGTCAAAAACATTTACAGAATGGTGGGAGCATAAGAGCGGTTGGCGTTAAACATATTGATCATTATTTGAGTTTGGGAGATACCGTGTTAAGTACTGTGACCATAAGACAAAGAGGAAGCAGTCGCTTCCCTCCAGAGACATACTGGGGTGCAAGGTACACAGATAGTGCATTTAGTGCCTTGTGAGTGGCGTGGCAGGATTGCCGTAGGGGTCACTTGAAGGCTTGCAAGTGAGGGCAGTCCTTCCCCTGATGTTTGCGTAGGTCACCAGCCCTCACTCAGGTGTGTGTCTGCATCACTGGAAAGAGTAGGAAAGCACAGATTGCTGGCCTCCACTCTCAGGCTTTTGGATGTGGTGCATGTGATCTGGGGCCCAAGAAGCTGCATTTCTGACACGTTCCCAGTGATGTGGGTGTGGGCCGGGAACCACCAGCTTAGGGCCATAATCACAAGAGACTTTACCAGGTGAGCAAGCAGAAAATGAAAGGGATGTTGGCAATATCGGGCTGCAATAATCCTTTAACCAGATGAAAGAGGTAACTTCTAAGGCCAATGCAAGATGGCCTGAAGCCCGGAGAAGGAGTCCTTCGGGCCCAACTCAGAACACTTACTGCTTGTTTGTGCTGTCTCACAGGTGGGGGTAATACAGTGATGAAAATCAATTTGATTAAAGACATTTTTTTATCACTAATATATTTTTCCTTCCCTACAAATTTAGAATGTTTTAAATAAAAATGTAGACTATGATGCATTTTAGATTCTACATATGAGCTATCTATTCTATTACACTTACTGATTTTTCTGTTGTTAGAACTGTAATACTCTTCTAATCATTTTTTTTTGGCTGCGTTGGGTCTTCGTTGCTGCGCGCAGGCTTTCTCTAGTTGCGGCAAGCGGGGGCTACGCTCGGTTGCGGTGTGCGGGCTTCTCATTGCGGAGGCTTCTCTTGTGGAGCACGGACTCTAGGTGCATGGGCTTCAGTAGTTGTGGCATGCAGGCTCAGTAGTTGTGGCACACGGGCCCTAGAGCACAGGCTCAGTAGTTGTGGCTCGCGGCCTCTAGAGCGCAGGCTCAATAGTTGTGGTGCACGGGCTTTGTTGCTCTGCAGCAGGTGGGATCTTCCTGGACCAGGACTTGAACCCGTGTCCCCTGCATTGGCAGGCATATTCTTAACCACTGAGCCACCAGGGAAGCCCTCTAATAACTTTTTAAGTGATTTTGATACATGTTGAGGCCAGTCCAGCATCAGTATGCAGGTGTTTTGCTGTTTTTCCTTGTTAATTCTTTCAGATGATTTTTAGAATAACTTTGTCAAGTCTCACTCCCTCTGAAAGACTTTGAATTTTTATTTGTAATTACGTTAAATTCATAAATTAACTTGTGGAAAGAACTGATATATTTGTGATAATTCGTCTTAGCCAAGAGTACAGTATGTTTTTCTCATCCATGATTTCCTATTTCTCCTAGAAGTTTTTTAGTTACAGTCTCCCCAATATAAGTTTTATATTTTCCTATTTTTGTTATTTCCAGGTCCTTCATGTTTTTTTGCTATTGAGATTTTTTTCCCCGTGATATTTAAAGAATTTAGGATTTAACCTAACAGAAAATAGAGAGTCTCTAAATGTTCTCTGTAAGTCTTCTCTATTCTTCATTAGGTTAACTCCTAAATACTTCATAGTTTTGTTGATATTGTGAATGGTATTTAATTTTTTTACTATTGAATTCATAAGTTAATTTTGTGTCTGGCAAACTTGATGAATTCTTTCAGTAGCCAATCTGCTGATTCAAATATTCTGTCAGTTTCTGGGGTGTCTTTAGTATCTCTGTCTGCAGTTATTGATTAATCCATTTCTTACCTATTGCTGGATCTTCCAGTCTTTTGTATATTTTGAAGATAGGCTGTGAGATGCATATATGTTGATGGTAATTATACTTTCTGAGCTCCTTTTAGCACTTTAAAGTGTCCTTCTTCGCCCTTTTTTTCCTCTCTTTATTTCCCTTTTGACTGATAAAAAATTGACACCCTAGCTTTAAGTTTGAATCACCTTATGTATAATTTTCTGTCATTTTATTTTCAACCTTTTTCTATCTGTTGGTTTTAAGTGGACCTTTCAGCGTTTTGCTGGGTCTTGTATTTAAAATCTTATTCGAGAGTCTGTATCTTCTGATTGAGTTTAAATCCATTTATATTTACTGTAATTATGGTTATTATAGGACTTGTTTCTGCCAAACCATTTTTGTTTACTTTTACCATATTTCTTTTTTCTCTCTCTTCTATCTCCTGTGGTTAGAAGTGCACTTTCTTAATATTGGTGGGAAAGTCATATTTTGTATTTTTATTCTTTTGTTGGTTACCTAGATTACTAAAACCTGGACTTATATTAATTTTTTCTTACCAGAATCTGTCACCAGTGCAAGGACTAGTCTAAGCTTCCACAAAATAGGGGGGAGTCGGGAGTTCATTAGATTACAATTCTACATGCAGAAGTAAGATACAGAAAATTAAACCTTAAAAAGAATATAGCAGAGGCCCTGTGAGTCAGGAGCAGCGTGGGTGTTTTCATTGCTCTCTCCTCCAGGCAGAGTTAGAAAATGGCCTGTAGCTGGACAGAGCTTTCTTCTGTCTTCATTTGAGTTAGCCACAGTCCGCTGTGCAGCATGCTACCAAGAAGGCTAGGATTGTTTGTAATGGACTGAAATGAAGTTTCAGAAAATAAATCTTAAATTGGATGCTAGGGGTTGGGGACAGTCCTAGTGAATGACCTGAAAGTAGTAGTAGCATTAGTAGCATTCTGGGAGTAGTAAGTTTTTAGATTAAAGAGGTTCTCGAGATTATGACAGTTTCTTAAGTGGTGACACATGGCGTGTGTGCTGTAGAAAAGGACCTTGGGTTCAGAAGTCCATGTCAGCTCAAGGGCACCATTAAGACCTGCTCCCTGCCCCCCACCCCAGTGCATTTCATAGTAGAAGAAAGCATTATGAGTATAATTATGAAAATAAGTCAGTCTTCCCTAAAAATAAATATACATGTACAATTTTTTTCAGGTATCTTCCATATCCACGATCACACCCCGTTGGATTGTGCCAGTAAGTTAACATTTGCAATTTTTCTTTCCATTACCCTTTCAGAATGAGGCCTGAAGGAATACCAGGTTCTTATTTTTCCTTGAAAACATGGGGTCATCATCAAATCTCTACTGATTGAACCTACTGGCTTCAAACTAGAGGTTTAATTTTTCTGTTTGTAAATACTTAAGGGTGCTGACAAAAACAAAAATATAAGTCTGATGTGAAGGATGGTAGAAAAACAAGGCAGCTGTCACGGTGAACATCACCCTTCTCATGACGCGGGGCTGAGTGCTGGCTGCGGGGCAGGTGTGGTCACCTCCGCTCAGACGGCCCGCGTGTTTCCCTCAGCAGAGCGCTGCCCTTCCTAACGGGCTTGCAGGAGACAGCGGGCTCTCGCCGGCCGGGAAGGAGGGGCCTGGCAACAGAGGTGTGGTCTCCCTCATCTCTCCCCCAGCGCCGTTCTTCGTGGATGCTGTGACCAGGTGAGGAATCTTTTCTCAGTTGCAGTTCTCAGGCCTCTGTTAAGAGGAAAATATAACGAAATTAATTGTACTTAAAGCAATAATGTCAGTTCTTCTCTAGTTGAACCTAATTGAAACTGAATAAATCTTTTCTGTGATTATTATTTAGAGTAGTGTTTTTTTTCTTTTTTCTTGTCAGTAGCAATCTTCTACAAAATTATGAAGTAGACCTTAGTTTCTTTTTTTATGAAGTCTTTATTAGATAAAGATATGAGCAGGTTTATCTTTAAAACTTTGTATTTGTTTTAAAATTGATTTATGTCTTTTCCTGTCATGCTTTACTGTTAGGTTGTCCATGAATATAGCGGAAGAGGCTCAGATAAGGGTGGGGTAGGGGATTCCCAAAGTGAGGGCTCTGATGTAGCTTCTACCGCAAGCTTATTTTAGCATATCACTTGCCACAGACAGAGCTTTTGTTCAGCATGTAGTTCTTCAACTTTTAATTGTTAGGATCAAGACTGTGCCTGTTTTTCAGAAGATCTATAATTGCCTCATTTCTCACCTCAGACGTCTTCCTGGTATGTCTACTGTTTCTCACATCCTCCTGGTGTTGAGAATGCGGGTTGGTCGAAGTAGATGCTTTAGAGAACAAAATCCCTGATTATAACAGAAAAGTTATTAGAGATAATTAACTTGAGAGAAATTCATAGTTTCATTTTAAAATTGTTGTCTTATCTCCATAGTCTTTAATATAATTGTTCACTCAGCAAACACTTACTGTCTGCTAGGTACCAGGCATTGCTTGTGTCCGGCACTGAAGGTAGGCGTGAACAGGACAGACATGGGGCCTATTTTCCTAAATATCTGTATGATTGGTAGTTCCCACTGCAAACATAGGGATTGTGTGCAGAGGGCCAGGTGATAATTCTTCGTAATTGAGTTCACACAGTAAAATGCGAGTTCGTAAGGACTTCCAAATGAGAAGTTACAGATGACATCAGAGCTTGTCTCCATTCCTTCCCAAAGCAAAGTAGTCATAAAGCAATTAGATCAAAGATGACAGGTAGTACACCTGAAACTAATATAATATGTCAGTATCTCAGTAAGGAAAACATGGCCAGTAAATCAGTGAAGCAGTCGAGTCCAGAAGCAAATCACACAAGTATAGTTACCTGATTTATGAAAAATGATAGTACAATGCTGAAGGGAAAGAGCGGTCTTTCAGTAAATCAGCCTGACAAGTTAAATATCCTTGGTGGGAAAAAATCTTGACCCAACCTCATACTATACACCAAAATCTACTGTAGGTGGATTGCAAATCTAAATATGAAATGTCCAATAATAAAGCTTTTAGAAGAAAATATAAGTGAACATCCTATGGCCTTGAAATAGGCAAAGATTTTTTAAACAGGTCACAAAAAGCTTCAATCATACAGGAAAAATTGATAACTTGGATTTTGTCCAAAACTCCTATTCAGGGACTTCCCTGGTGCTGCAGTGGTTGAGAGTCCGTCTGCCAAAGTAGGAGGCACGGGTTCGAGCCCTGGTCCGGAAAGCTCCCACATGCCACAGGGCAACTAAGCCCGTGTGCCACAACTGCTGAGCCTGTGCTCTAGAGCCCATGAGCCTCAACTACTGGGCCCACGTGCCACAACTACTGAAGCCTGCGCTCCTAGAGCCCGTGCTCCGCAACAAGAGAAGCCACTGCAATGAGAAGCCCGCATACCGCAAGGAAGAGGGGCCCCTGCTCACTGCAGCTAGAGAAGGCCTGCATGCAGCAACGAAGACCCAACACAGCCATAAATAAATAAATTTTTAAAATTAAAAAAAAACTCCTATTCATCGAAAGATATTATTTCAAGCACTCAAAAAGGAAGCCACACAGTGGAGAAGACAACCGCACTTCCCCTTCCCCCTGACTCTGTCTGTGTCTCTCTCATAAAGAACTCATATCCAGAATATATAAAGAGCTCTTGTGAATCAATAAGAAAAAGAGAGCTCAATAGAAAAATTGGCAAAAGAGTTGAATAGGCAGTTCACAAGAGGGTATCCAGGTGGCCCATCTTGACAAGTTATTGAGAAATACAAATTCAGACCACTGTGTGATACCACTGCATACACCTAGAATGGCTCAAGTGAAAATACACATAGTACCAAGTATTGGTGAAGTTATGGGGCAACTGAAACTGTAAATTGAAATAACTGTGTTGGACGTAGATTTGGCTGTATCTACGAAAGCTGAAAATACGTTTACATGCGTACCCAATAGAAATACACATATGTGTCCATCAGAAGGCATGTACAGGAATGTTCACAGCAGCTGTGTTCATCGTAGCCCAAGCTGAAGACTTTTTAAAAGCCCACTGGCAGTTAACTAGATAAGTACTGGACTAGAGCAGTGAAAACTAACGAACTGTAACTGCGGTAGAGAGATACAGATGAGTCGCGCACACACAGTTACGTGAGGTATTTATTGATCTGTAACAGATCACCACACGTTTAGCGGCTTACACCCCATTCCCTGCAGGTCAGGGGTCTGGTACAGCGTAGCTGTGCACTCTGCTGCGGGTCTCCCCCAGGCTCCACTCAGGGAGTCGGCTGGAGCTGGGCTCTCATGTGAAGGGTCAGCTGGCGGAGGGTCTGCAGTCATGGCCATTGGCGGAATTCAGCTCCTGAGGGGCTGCCCGCTGAGGGCTGGCTCCAGGCCGCGCTGCCCTCGCTACTTGCCTGGGTCCTTTACTTCAGCAGAGCCAGCAAACCAGGAAGGCGGTGGGACGCCTGCCAGCCGGCCAGAGGTCGCCATCTGTATACTGTAATCGCGGAGTGACAGCCTGCTGTTACCTTTGCTCATTTGCATTGGTTAGAACAGACCACAGGGCCTGCCGTGCTCAGGGGGAGGAGGGGGTCATTGGGGTCATCTTAGAGTCTCCTCCGCATGATGATGGGAAGGAGGCACAGCTCTCAGAGACCGAAGTAATGGTTACCTGGAGGTGGCTAGTTTCAGAGTGCTAGTGACTTTCTGTTTCTCATTCTGCGTGCTGATTGCACAGGTGTGGTCAGTGTGCACAGGGTCCTCAACTGACAACTCCTGATTTGTGCACTTCAGCGTATGTATGTTATAATCACTAGCGTGTTTTTAAAAGAATGGTGATGGCGTTGCATCTGTACAGATTCAGATTTACTTGGGGTGTGCGCTGTGTAAATTTAAAGTTAAAGAACAGGAGAGGAGGGCTTCGCTGGTGGCGCTGTGGTTGAGGGTCCGCCTGCCGATGCAGGGGACACGGGTTCGTGCCCTGGTCCGGGAAGATCCCACGTGCCGCGGAGCGGCTGGGCCCGTGAGCCATGGCCCCTGAGCCTGCGCGTCCGGAGCCTGTGCTCTGCAATGCTCGGAGAGGCCACAACAGTGAGAGGCCTGCGTAACCCAAAAAAATAAAAACAAAAGAACAGGAGAGGAAACAGCAGCAGTTGAGATTACCGAGCAAGTTTTAGGAGCAGCTAAATGACAGATAAGTGGTGACCAGCTTGGCAGAGAGGAGAAAGCTGAGATCTAAGCCTGAAAAGGGGAGGGGGTGGAAACTGGGAAAATACGAAGCCAGTCCATGCGCTAGCACCCGGGCTGGCTCAGGAGCTGAGGCACCAAGTGTTGGGAAGGTGGGTCCAAGGTGGGGCTGCAAATGAGCCCCTTCATACACTCCCCCTTCCCGCCCTGCCGATGCCGGCCTCATTCTGGAGGCTCCCCTCTGGAGGAGCTGGGCGGGCAGGGCCCTGGGTCTGGGGGCCCTGTTGGGAGGAAGGCCCTGACCTGGAGGGGGTTAACTCAGTGTCCACACGCCAAGGGGTGAGACCCCCAGCCTTCCTTCTGTTTCCAGCCTCCAGAATGCTGTGGGCCACGTATAAACGTCTCAGGTGAGAAATTCAGAGGATTGCTCTCTAGAGAACCTGACCGAGCGAAGAAAAAGGCCCAGAGAGACTGACATTTGTGGATCGCAGGAAATCTGGTACCTCGACTTGGAAGCCCGTAGTTAGTGGATTTTGCCCACACGTGCACAGCTTTCAGACAGCGTTCCAGCGCTTCATGCTCAAGTGTGAGCATGCTGCTTCCCTCTTAAATGTGAACAGAGCCAACGATTGTCAGATGTTTGAGGGAACACTAGAGCAGGTCAACTTGAAAAAGAAACAGGGAGGAAATAAAGGAATGTGAGCGTCAAAAACTTTGCAAAGTGACAGTGTGAGAAAGAAGATACTGCATCCATGCAGCAGTAACAGGGAATTAAAGAAGGAACAGAAAATGAAGTATTCTTGGAAGTTATTAACCATGTTAAAAATAAAATTCAAAGGATGCACGGAAGGTAAGATTGGAGAAATCCCCCAAAATGTAGAACAAACGTTGAGAATTGGGAGAGAGAAGAAGATTGGAGATTGGTCTAGGAAGTCCACTATGTGAATCATTGGAGGTCCAGAAGAAAGAACACAGTAAATAAAGTGTCCAAGAAAGAAATCAAGACTTCCCAGGACAGAAGCACTTGAGCTTTTAGATTAAAGGAGCCCAGTGAGTATCCAGTAACAGAATGAAAATAGACAACAGCAAGGAACATCGTGAAGTTTCAGAACGTAAGAGAGGATGTTAGTCTTCAGAGAGGGGAAAAAGAGTTCATACAAAGGACTGGTGATCTCAATGGCAGCAGGCTTTACTGAAAGCTAGAAGATAACAGAGCAATGCCTTCAGAATTCTGGAAGAAAATCATTTCTCACCTCATGTTTTGTACCCAAGCTATCAATGAAGTGTGAGATTAGAATGAAGACATTGTAGGGAGTTGCCTGGCCGTCCAGTGGTTGGGACTCGGTGCTTTCTCTGTCAGGGCCCGGGTTCAGTCCCTGGTAAGATCCTGCCAGCCGTGCAGCGCAGCCAAAAAAAAAAAAAAGAAATGAAGACATTTTAAAACGTGGAGTTTCTCTAAAATACGTGCTTCTAAGGCGGCCTTCCTCAGGAAGCTACTTAAGTGGAGGATGTGTTCCATCAAAACAAGGTGATTGTCCAGGAAAGAAAACGGGGAACCCAGGAAACAGGTGCCAGAATTTACCAGGAGGAGAGTGAAGGGAAGTTCCAAGCAGGCCTAGGAAGGCTCCTGTACAGATTGGAAGGGGAGGCTTTGGAGCCCCAGGAAGGGTATTGCCAAGGGAGAACGAACAACACGTGGCCCGCGCCCAACTTTACAAAAGGACCTGAGACCAGAAGCCTGGTTGCGTTTGGTTAGGGATAAATTAGAAACGGAGTATTGGACGCCGAGCAAGCAGTTACAACGAGAAAACAAATTGTACAAGAAAAGAAATACAACACACCCATAGTGAGCTGTGGAAATATTTATGTAATTATAGCAGACGATGACTATTAGGGAGGCCTGTGTGTCATTGTGGAAACACCCCCTTGAGAACAGTGAGGACAGACGGCAGCTGGCGGGCCCGCCTGGAGGGCTTGTTAGAGCACAGGCGCTGGGCTGTCCTGAGGCTTTGGGCCAGTGGGCCAGGGGCGGGGCCTAAGAACTTGCACTTATGACAAGTTCCAGGACCACGCTTTGAGAACCAGGGATCCAGAATAAGAAGGGAAGTACCAGGAAAATCCAGTCGGCAGTGTCGTCTCTGTGGAGTGGAAACGCGGAAGGGGGGGTTCCAGTGACAGCTGTTTTGTTCACACGTCTTGATAGCACATCGACGATGTTAACCTCTGGCCTTGGGACTTCGGTGTCGTTTTCAGTCTCCCTGAAGCCTGCACCTCCGCGCACGCCCTTGCCCTGCGGGGAAGCGTCGCACTCTTACTCTTGCTTCACCTCTGACGCAGCAGGGGAGGTGGCGCGGGGCTCAGAGCCGCCGCGGGGGCCGCGTGAGGACACACAGGACCCCCGGCCCTGGTGCTTGCCGAACGTGTTGCCATGGTGCTCGGCACAGCCCTGTCCTCCGTGTTCTGTGACAGCCCTGGCTCAGCAAGAGGTGTCTGTTCGGTGTATTTTATCCAAGGAAGCAGGGGAAATTGATGTCTTTAGGTTCCATTTCAAGATGGAATAAGCATCAGTTATCTAGAAAATGACCCTCTGCGGAATCGCCTACGTTAAGTGCTACTACACACCCCTCTTTACTCTCCGCATGCTCCGCGAGGCGCCTGGGAGAAACGCAGGTCGCTTCCGCCTTGGATGGTCTTTGCATTTTCCAAAAAGTGAGTAACGTGTTCTTTCTTCCTGTCAGCTCGGCTCCAGCCTCTGCTGGAGAAGCCACCTTGAAGCAGAAGTGTTTGCTGACAACAGAGCTCTGAGGGGCGGCCACTCCTCACCGTGACCCGAGGCCGGGCCCTCCAGCCGTCCGTCCTGGAGTCCGCTTCTGCTGGAGCTGGTTCTGCACTTGTGGGTAAAAGAGCTCACCCGGGTGTGACTTCACCTCTGTGAAAAAGCAGTTACATTTCCGTCCAGCAGGAAGGGCGTAATTACACTACACGTTAGCCCAAGTGAGCGTCTGTGATCTTTTACTTTCTCTCATTTCGTTTGAAGTTGTGAATTCTGCCGCGGGGGATCCCTTTCCCTGTGGCTTTCTCCGAGCTCTTTGCTCCGCCCAGTGGTTGTGACTGTTCATGACGCCCCCTGGGTGGGCCGTCCCTGGTGGTCAGCAGCCTTGGGAAGGTTACTTCTCTCTCTGGTGTCAGGGTGAGTGTCCTTGATGTGAATGCCTGCTATAGAAATTGTACCCTTCTGTGCATTGCCTGGAAATCAGGAATTGAGGTAGATTAATTATTACTAAAGAGAGGTTTTTAGAATACAGAGGGTTTTCAGATGTCTCCCATACTTTTGACTTTTTGCTGGACTGGCTATCTTAATACTCCAAGTTTACATCAAGGTAAGATAGACCTTGAGAAGAATTACAGAGGAATCAGTTGCCCGGCACAGTTTTTCAGCCCAGCCGTCCCTTGGGAAGCACACCTGCGTGGAGCGCACGCGCATCCTGTAGCTTTTGGCCTGGAAGGGGTGGGGTGGCCGCAGAGACCCCCAGGCGTCCACACGGCTCCCTGGGCTGCGTGGGGTTGAAGGCTGAGGTCGGCTCAGGCGGCGAAGGAGAGCACAGTAGTTTCCAGGTCCCCATTTGGACGTAGGCTCCATTTCCTTTTAATGTAAGCTGAATAAATTCAGATGGTGTAAACTGAAGGAGAAAAAATGCCAGGATAGAAATAGGGAATCGGGTTGAGGGGATTCATGTCTGAAACTAAATGCAAGGTACTGCAAGAACGTTAGGGATTTTGTGTTAGTTAAAAAGGGTTCTCTAGAATTTCCTCATTACTTTCCATCTGCACAAAAAATTCTGGATGTTAAAGTAGTATATGCTCATTATAGAAAATAGAGAAAAGAATTTCAACACCCAGAGAAGCACTATTTTAGCTTCAAAACTTTGGACTGCGTAAAGGAAACCTCAGTTGCTGTGGGGAATGAGGGTGATCTGGAAATCGCGTTGGTAAAGTTGTTGTGAATCCCTGTTACCGAGGGCTGATGTTAAACTACCTCCTGGAATTTGGTTTTGGTCTGCTGCCCTGCGGTGTGCACGTAATTGAGTGTGCTGTCCACCAGACAGCGTCTGCTGTCCACCAGAAAAGAACATCCAGTTTTCAGATCTTTAAAACTCCATGTTCTGGATGGTCCTGGGTTCCCTGTAACATAATCACACTCAGGCAGACGCACACTCTTGTCTGACTGGAAAGCCCTGGGATCTTAATCTTGTGCTGTTCCCAGGGGGCCGTAGAGATTGGAAACGACTTTTTCACAAAACAGTTCTGCCGAAGGAAAGACAGTTGGCACTTCTTGTTGGCTGTCTCCCCTTAGCTGTTACCCTAAGCTCGTGGATTTCGTTGGGGGAGCTCGTGCCACTTCGTAATTGTCAAACAGATTTTCTCGCAGCTCTAATGACACCTAGAACCAGGGACTTGACCTGGGACATGCTGGACTGGACATCGAGTTTTCAGCACACCGACGACCCTGAAGGTAGAAGGTTAAGGTTGTGCTTCTGGTCACAGAGCAGCTTTCTAGATTTTGGAATTAAGTTGTTGAAAACATTGCGTAAGCTTTGTGTCTTCAGGTACCTGTATTCTTGCCAGTCAGAATATTGATAGGGACTTTCTTACAGTGCATTTGAATCTCAAGGTAAAAGGAAATTCTGTCTCATGTCCTGGCAAGAATGGTACGTATGGAAATTAATACTTTAATGAATTAGCCCTGACAGAATAGATACCTGTCAGGTAGACCTTTCCTTTCCTGTCTGCTGCAGGTGCCGTCCCCGGGCGCCTGTAACGTTCACCCTGTTCCGCTGACCTGAGAATGGGACAGGTGCGGGGGGGAGCAGCAGGTGTGAGTCAGGGAAGGATGCTGGCAGGGAGCCAGGTGTGCGATGGCTCTGGACCAGGACGCAGGCGGTTACACTGGGGGAGGGCACCTCACTGTGGCAGCCCTGCAGGCCGCTGGCCCTCGGCACGGTTTCTGGTGACAGAAGATCTTAGCGTCTTCCTGCCCACCGGAACTACCCGACCGGCTGAGTGCAGCTCTGGTCCCCGGATGAGCTGAAACAGCCCAGTAGCTGTTCTAAACGGTGGCTGGCTGGGCGGGAAGTTTCTCTGTGTCTAGGGAGGATCCCACGCAGTAGGACAGTGTAGCTATCAGGAGAGCCCTGGCCGTGTTGGATCCAGTCAGGAGGGACGAGCACGTATTTGGAAAGCGCGGGACGACGGGTTCATAGCTGAGCTGACAGAGCCGTTCAGCAGAAATGACTGGAGGCTGCTTGAGCCACAGACTCAGCTCTGTGTCACTTTCTTTCCAGGCTTTCCAGAACCAGCTTTCGCTCTGCTAACTCACTAGGAGCCGGGATGATGGAGTTGTGGCTGTGAGCAGGTTTAGGGGCTCAGGTTGGGGGGCTGCGTGTATCCTCTTGCTGTTGCCTCGTTGGTCTGCAAGGGTCTGCGCTTTCTGATGGTTTGCAGGGGGCACCCTGCTGCCGCCTCTGTCTTGGTGGGTGGGGAGTGGAAAGGGCGGGAGCTCAGATCAGCTGGCTTTAGGTCCTGGCCGGGGAAGGTCAGGTCAGGGAAGGGAGAGCTGGCCCTGGGGGCTTACAATGAGCTGGGTAGGTGTCGGTTTTCTCCCCTAGACTCCTCTTCAGAACTTGTGGAATATCCTGTTTCTCGGGGACCTCACAGAGGTCGTAGTGTCCCCTTTGTGTACACAGGAAGGATTCATCGCCCTTTTATTCCTGCCCTTGAGGAAACCCTGGTGAACAACAGAGTGATTAGATGCCTTTGCTCTTGATAAATTTAGACGTACCCTTAGCTGCTTGTCTAAAATGTTGATGTTGTTCTGAGAAAAAATCTCGTTAAGAATGTGTCTTCTAGTCTACTAGGCTTTTGTCTTTACGTGTGTGTGTGTGTGTGTGTGTGTGTGTGTGTGCGCGGCCACACGTGTTCTGTGGCAGGTGAGGGTGGAGCGCGGGGCAGCCCTGCATCTTGGCTGCTTGCCCTCCTGTGTCTCGGCTCTGGCCGCCCTGCCTGTCTCCTCTCAGACCAGCGCCAGGGTCACTGCAAACACCTCCGAGAGCAGAGCTGTGTGGCAGCCACTGACACGGGAAAGGCTCTCTTGTTCTGAGTCAGGCCCCAGAGAAGCCAGGGCCTCAGCTTCTCCTCGAGGGCGGGCCAGCAGGCAGTTTTGTCCGGAGCAGGGCTGGTGAGGGCCCGGCTGTGTGCGGCCCGTGTTCAGATGGACTCCGAGGGTGGGCTAGCCCTGGAGGCCCCGGCACCCTCACTCACGTGTGGGCCGGGGCAGGCCTGGCCTCCGTCCCCGAAGGCCGCCAGGTCTCCGCACTTCTGACGCACCTCGCCCTCAGCCATTTGGTTGCTTGAAACCTGGAGACGTCTAGTGCATGATACACACTGCCATATCACTTGTTCTCTTGTGCGCTCGCCATGTGGACGCTGTGGCTCCTGGGCGGTCAGAAGAAAGCGGGAAGCTCCTGCTACCTGTTAGCCTCCAGGATGAGGGACGTTGCTTGGTTCACAGAGATTTACCCCGAGCCGGCTGGGCCGAGGTCGCAGGTGCGGAGCTGTGCTTGTCTCCAGCTCTGAGACGTGGTGTCCGGGGACCCCTGTGTCGCCGTGGTGCGGACACCAGCTCAGGCACGCTCCAGGTTTCTTTGTCGGAGAGGCGTTCGGGCACAGAGCCCTGCTCTTTGGATCTTCATAGCTGGATACGATAGACAGTTACAAGGACCTCACTAACTATTTTGTGTTTACTTTTTATCTGTGTAAAGCTTTGCAGTAGCTTTTAAAGTGTAATTTATTTTTTTATCAAGTGCACTCTTCATGCCACGTGTCCGTGATTTTATACGACTTGTACTAGAAGCGCTGCACTCAGCTGTGAGCTGTTTGTACACTGAGATGACAGCTGTAGATGTGACCACAAATAAAGCTTTTGTGAAACACTCACGCTTGATGAGCTGTCCCGGTTTCTTGGACGTGCAGCACCCACCCACCGGCTGGGCGTTCCTCTCCTCGGCAGAACTGTCAGCAAGAGTCGCTGCCGCACGAATGCGAGCGGTGAGCGGAAGCAGCACCGTGCTGTGTGGCGCTCGTTTCAGAGCGATGGTGTAACTGGGCTAGAGGCATCCTGAAAGTTTGGGCACACCTCAGCCGCCCCCAGCGCATCCTGGGAGGAGCAGCGTGGGGCAGGAGAAGCCCCGCTCCGCTGCCCACTTCCTGCGAGACCTGGTGGCCGGCCGCCCCCGTGCCGCTGCCCCTTGCGCCCTGTTCTCCCTCCCTTGCCCTGCGGTCATCTCAGGCCCAGGGAGGACACCCTTGAACTGAGAAGAGGGCTTGTCCTGGAGCAAGGAAAGCCACGTCCGACCTTGCCCTGTGTCCCCCGAGCTGCAGGGCTCCCCCTGAAACCAAAGGCAGAACGAAGTGGGGCGGCAGAGGGAGCCTGGGCCCTCCAGGTCTCTGCATCTGGGAGGGCATATCCGCCCCCAGGCTTCCAGGGTGCCGGTGAAGCCGGTCCCCAAGACCCGGTTGGCCTGCTGTCTCAGCAGCCCTGGTTTTCCTGCTGGGGTCCCGGGTTCCCACACCCCGCAGAGTGAAGCCGAGAGGCACGCGGGCAGGGCTTTGCTCTTCCGAGCCCAGCGTGCTTGGGTGAGCAGACTGCACCCTGTGACTTAGCACCTCCTGGGCGCCAGGCTGTTCTGCACAGGGGCGTCGTGTCCCCACCAGTAACCCCAAACCTCCCGCCACCCACCAACACGGGGGAGCTCCTTCAAACTTCGTTAGGTGACCAGCAGACACCACGCTGTAGGACACACAGCAAACAGTGGGCCCCGGGCATCAGACCCCGAGCCCCAGGCCTGGCACCTCCTGTGCCCTGGGGGCCAGGAAGCCTCAGGGCGCTTCTCGAGCTGTGTGGAAAAGTCGGGTTTGGTGATTCCCGCGCGGAAACCGCAGGGGCGTCGTCCTGCGTGTGCTGCTGTGCTGTTCTGGTGGCCTGCCCCTCTCCTTCACCACGACCCAGGAGCAGGGTCTCGGAGGGCCGTTGCCCTCTCCACCTGGGGCCCCAGGGTGCAGGGTGGGATGCTGAGCCACCCCTCCGTCCTGCCTCACTGAGGGTGGGGACCAGGGCGGGTTTACGGGACACACAAGTTTCTCTCCTCCCGTCCGGCCACAGACCCAGAGGGGACTTACAGGCCAGCTGCTGCCCCAGGCTTGGCTGCGTTTGAGGGTGCGGGGTGGAGGGGCCTGGGAGCACCCGCAGGCAGGCGCCGTCTAGCCCGGGGGGCCAGGGCAGGGAACGGCCGGCTTGGTGGTGGCGCAGAGGGAAGTGGCTCTGTGGTTGCCCTTCCAACGGACAGCCAGGCCCGGCCCGGCCCGGCCTGTGGGTCGGCAGCGCCCACGGGCAGCCCCGCCAGAGCCCCAGCTGCACCGAGTTGAGAGAGAAGCTACAGGAGGCCGCCCGGCCCAGGGGACACCCACGGGGTGCGGTTGTGGACCGATGGCTCTTCTGCGAGGACTGGATACGCCCACGGGTGTTCTTACGCCGGAGAGAGCTTCAGGGCAGCCCGGGCCGGGCGTGGCCCGCGAACGCCCAGTGGCCGTGAACTGGGGCAGGTGGGGCAAGAGGCGGTGGCCGTGTGGACT